TACCTATCTAAAACTGACGTAACCTGATCATGATCCGATAAACAAAGGGCTCGACCCATCTTCACTTTGCAACCCCGCCCACCTCTTGGGCATCTGGATCTAGATCGATCTGCCAACACTATTTAAGGTGACAGAGGTCCTCACCGCAAGTTTTTGTGAGTAGTAATCATTAAACCTAGCAAGCACAAAAGGGTGTTTATAGACCCATTGGAAAACCATTGTTTAACCCTTGCCTTGAATTTCTCTCCGTAGGAGTATGAAAAAGTACAGAGTCGAGTAAACCGTCAGTCAAGGCAAAGACTAGCCGAAGGGAAGGTTCGAATGGTGGTGACAGCAGACGCACAGATCGCAAAAATTGAAGTTCTCGTAGAGCGAGCGCCGATGGCAGCTGCTCTCAGTGGTGACGTCACGGGTAGAGTGCCACTGAAGGTTAAAATGGGGGCGCAAGTTGGTAACAAGGTAAGAATAATAGAGCGGTGCTTGATAGGACGAAATTGTTGCGCCACTATACACATTCGCATCTCACCTACAAAATGTTCCAAATGAATTTTTATTCCGTCATTTTTTCTAACATCACCTCCTCTGATGACCACGTAGCCCCAACCTTGTTCCCAGGGCCTTTTTTCTTACAAAATGGCGGGGAAAAAGAAAAGCCCTGGGAATGAGAATGGACGCTGCCCACTTCCACAATCGCCCCACCCCGCCTCTAAAAGTACCCCAAGAAGCTTCTAATACCAGAACTATTATTAGTTCAATTAATCGTCGAGCGATCGATCACTGATTTCTTAAAATAAAGAAACGTAGGCTAATAGAATATATTTTTTTAATTTTTGAACTTCAGATTTGAAAAAATGTAAAACGCCATTAACTTGAATTTCTTTTCGTTGTTGTCAGCAATACCTGTCTGTGGATCTCGATTCAGTTTACATGTCTGATAAAGGCACGCCAGTTTACAAGCTTTCAACCGTGGACGCCGACAGACGAAACAGGTTTCGCTTGGTAGTCAGCTTGCTGTTCATTGATGGAGATCGCAGTCAGTCGTTTGCAAGTCCAACGTTTCTGTTGCGAAGCCGAAGACCAGAGAGAAAAAAATCATATTAGTTCTCCCGACGACCCATGGAGAGAATCACAAAAGTTACACGTGTCAGTAGTGACACCTTGTGTTCCAGTTCCCCCGTTGACTGAGCGCGCCTCAAGCAAGACGAACGGAATCTGGGACAAATCACGTGTTCCGAATTACATCATAAGTTCCAGACCTCTTTATGTAACGCAGAAGACAATGATCGAGAAACAGATTCTTATTTTTTTCTTAATCCTGCTACACAACCCTATCTAAAATTAACTTCATTTTCAAGTTACAGCATGCCGTGGGGAGGATCTGGGGCGAACCGCGTGTTCACGAAGACACCGGGGATCCCTGAGCTCTCAACGGGCAGTGCCATTTACAACTACCGTTGGACATAGTAAAGGAAGTAGGCTACTATTGCCTTGAAACAAAGGCTTAGGAGGTAGTTGTGTTTAAGCCCGGGCCAAATGGAAACGAAAGTCGACAGGAGAAAAAATTCTCGGTATCGTTCGACCTGAAACTCATATCTATATCCTGACGATTCTTATATACTCCCATCAAATTTGAACTTGATCAAATCTTCTCGAGACTCGTCGAACCCTCTCTCAATTGACCCACGTTCACTGTAAGTTTCTGAAAACTCTTCAACGTGGATCTCTGAGTATTTTTAAGTCGTTCTTGTTTGGTCCGGACTTAACAATTTCGTTAGTAATTTAATTTGCTACAAACAGTTGCTGAGGTGGTCCGTGCCAATAAAAATAAATTTTAAAATGAATTTCGTTGAAATATTTAAGTTCAACAGGGAAACCGTGTTTGCAAAAGCAGTAAGCAATTTTTTTTTGTCCGAGTTTTACCAGTTTCTATTTAAGTAATCCTTGAAGTATTCAGATCGAAAATTGTGTGAAATAATGTGTAAGTGCAGTATAGAAAAATTTCAATTCAGCAGTATCTCTTTATCTCAGTTTTAGTTATTTCTTAGCCTGTCTGCAGATGTTTGATTTTCCTTTCAACGTCCCAAAAGTGAATTAAGGTCTTTTTCGACTGGGTAAGAAGGAAGTTCTGCAGGCAGGCTGCTGGTCTCTTTATTGTTACCGCAGGCTCAAAACGAAGACGAAGAAGTACCTCGGGTTACTATCTGAATAAAATGCATGAGTCTTTTTGTGTTCCTTTTTCCAGTTTTTATTACCAATGCTACAGACATCGTCTAAATCCATCAGTTAACATTAAATAAGGCTCAGGTATTCGATATTTAAAATGAATTTTGTATTTTAAACTCGGGACTGAAGTTAGTTACTATGTGCTGCAAAGAATTTATAAATGCTATTTAATTCGATATTTCAAATTGTAAAATTTTTAAAATTTCCCTGTTTGTATTATTATAACTCTGTTTTAAAGTGTCACGTCTATTTATGAAAATTGACAATCAACGTCAAAAATAAACGTTCAGAGTTTCAGAAAACAGTGACTAGTAGCTTTCACTCACCGAGTTTACAGAGAAATTTTGAACCATTCGTACAAAGATCGAGTTACCAAACCAACCCTGGCTGAGTTCAGTCCTCTCATATCCTAGCAATTTCTTGTTCTTGTGAACGCTAAGTGTCAACTGTCACTCGCCTAGTTTAAAGAGAAATTTGAACCATTCGTACAAGGATCGAATTACCAAACCCACCCTGGCTGAGTTCAGTCCTCTCATATCTTAGCAATTTCTTGTTCCTTTGAACGCTAAGTTTCA